GTTTTTTTTTTTTTTTTTAATTGTAACATGAGTTTTTCTTGCAAAATAAATGTGATTTTCATATTATATTCGATTTAATCCAAGTGCGTTCTTATGTTCAGATTGCTTTCTTTTCCTGATTATTATGTTGCGGTGTGCATACAACATGATGTCTAAGGCCAACATCCACTTGAATCATTGTAGACAGGTTTTTGAGTTGCCTAAAAATTTTGAATTTATCATTATTATGTGTGAACATGCGTTATACGTTATTCTAAAATGTTTTATAAGTGCCGTGAATGTATTATTTAAAGATACATAAATATAAATATAAAAAATAGTTAATATAAGTTAATAAACTTTTTATTCAATAAGAATATTTTTGTACCCTACATTTTTTGTGTGATTAGGGGTATCTTACTTAATTAAAATCTTTGTAGTTGTTATGGAGATTCCTCTTGAAAGTGCAACGTGTAACTGTTTGTGTGAGAATACATGTTGTGAAAGATAAATTCCGACATGAGGTGTTTTTTTCCTTAAACCTTGTCGAGTGTTGTTGCAAAATCTAATTCGGCTAAAACCTCTTTGATGTATTAGAAAGAAAAACAAAATATTTGATGATAGAAACGAAATAACAACCAATATGTGAAAACTATTTAAATAGTTGAAGAAGTAATTAGAATAGTCTATCCATTTGTTTTTTTGATCTAAATATGAGAAATTTGCAAGCCCCTCAAAGTAAATGTTTATTATTATACATGCACGTAAATAGTAAAATGCATACTTGAATGTGGGAATTAGAATTTCAACTACATTCATAAATGAAGATAATGGTAAATACAATACATAAATTAGCGTGAATATTAATTAATTCAAAACTAATAATAGGAAATATATAAATGTTAATGAGTGTTAAATCATTTATATTAGATGAATATAATTAAATTTTTAATTAAGTGAAATTGTATGCTAATTAGCATACATGGATGTGAATAAAGAACTGCATTCTTTAATGTGAAATTCTAATTAACAATAATGAACTACATTTTTGAATGTGAAATGCTACTTAACTTATAGTTAGAATTAATAACATTTAAATGTATAAATGAATATAAATCTTAATTAAATGAATGAGAATGTTAATTAATTGAGAATGCATGAAAAAAGTCTTTTGTAGTATTTATTACAGTGTGTAATTGGGTCATGTGGTGAAAGCACACAAGAGAAATGAATCTGTTAAATGTACATTTATGATACTTAAATAGTGGACAAAATATTAATGAATATATAGCCATAAATTAAATACATATTAAAAATGAAAAGTAAGGTATTACTGGAATAATTGAATGGAAGTAGGATTATAATCGTCCAAAAAATAATTCTTACTTGATGTGTTTAACATATTATAGATTATGGAAAATAGTAAAATAAAAAATCAACTTATAGGATGTGGAAAATTCTAAGAAATCCAACCATTGTTGAACATTACTATATTGAATACGTGATTATATGTGATAGTTTATGTGTTTTGCATGTAGAGAGTAGGATGGTTTTAAATTATTGACACCAACGTAATTTGCCTCTTTTTTTAATTTCTATCTTTTTTGAGTGTTTGTTCACTTTTTTAAAATTGTCACTTTTTAAGTATTTGCCATTTTTTTAATTTTTGTCATTTTTAAATATTTGTCACTTTTTTTTCTCACTTCTTTTGTGTTTGTCACTCTTTTCTTTTTCTTTTTTTTTTTTTAAATTAAATTTCTATCACTTCTTTTAGTGTGTCACATTTTTTAGTGTTTTATCTTTTTTGAGTGTTTATCGTTTTTTTTTAAATTACTATCGCTTTTTTGAGTGTTTGTTGTTTTTCTTTTAATTTTCGTAATTTTTTTTAATATTTATCACTTTTTTTTTAATTTCTGCTACTTTTTTTTTTTTTGGTATCTTTTTGTTACTTTTTTTTTTAGGTTCTGTCATTTTTTGAGTGATAAACATAAAAAGTAATATTATATGTCATTTTTTAATGAATAAGTGACGTTTAGTATTCATTGGGGTAGACTGTGTTCTAATTAATATTTAACTTTATCATTTTCTTAAGTGGGTAGATTGAGTGTCACTATCATTTTTTTGAGTGTTTGTTTCTTTTTTTTTTAAAAAAATTTTGATTGTTTGTCACTTTTTCTATTGTTTGTTATTTTATTTTATTTTTTGAATTTTTGAGTGACAAACATCAATTTTTTTTATAAAAGTGACATTTATCACTTTTTAATAAATTAGTGACACTTAACTTTACAAAGCATTTTTTTACACCCAAATTACTTTTCATATGATTTCTCAAAATACATAATTTTAGGGGTATTTTTGTAAGTTGTCCTAAAAAGGTAAATTGAGCCCAACAAATATCAAATTAGCCCAAATCACCCAAGTCTATGAATTATATACAGCAATCTATAGGGAAAAAATTAAAATAAATTTTTCATTGAGATGCAAACTATTTATGCGAAGCTGAAGCCGAAGCCTCATCCTTCTTCGATCTTCCTCTAGATTTACTAGCAACTGATTCTAGTAATGCACAATTTTGGATTGTTGACGGTTGTGATTATGAAGAAGAGGTTAATAATTGTATCTTACTACCCACAAGAGGTAATAGAAATTCTCGAGTAGAAATAAGGGAGTCGGATGAAGATAATTGGCATCGAATGACACGAAAGATGACTTGAATAAATAATAGAAGTTTAAATTGGAATCAGAGTTAGATAATAATTATAATTTTTTAAGTCGATATTCATTATAATCTAATTATAGAAGTTGATTATTAAATAATTGTAGTATTTTTTATTTTGAATAAAATGTTTTTGTTGAAATTTTGAAGAATATGTATAAAGTTCAACTAATTGCAATACTTGTGATTTTGAGCAATAAAAATATATAAAGCTCAAATAATGCATTATTTTATTTTTTATTAGTTTAGAATATTTAAAATAATATTAAAAATTTTAAAAATGCATAATTACGCATATGTTTCGCATAAGCGTTTAATGCTTAATACTCGATTGAAACATATTGTCATGCAGTATGCATTTTAATTAGAACCTTACCAATAATACATACGACACAAAATTCTTGTTCCATCTAGGAAGCAAGCAAAATTATATTCAAAGTAAAAAAATCTTAACATTATAACCATAGTAATGATGTTAAGAAATCTTGTTGAGAAAAACTTGGATTTTTAAGTATGAAGCAAAAGAACTCAGCAATAATCTCTCAAAGGTATGCATGACAAGGTAAGTATAAAAAATGAATAAATGATTTATGGAGAAATGAGTATTTCATGTGGATTCTACAAAATGCATAAATAAAAAAATGATTCAACCAAAAATATTTTTTGATTAAACACCTAGAAACAATTTCCCAAACATATTTTCAACCCAAAAAAAACTATCAAACCTACTACGAAATCCCCAAAAATAAGTACAAGAGAGACCGTAAAATTCAATTTCATACTTATGAAATTTATTGACTTTTAAAATTTTTGAGATATATACTAAAATCAAAATGAAATTTACAGTTCTAGTGGACAGTTAAAAGTCATGTTCACGGTGAACAAAAATATGCGCTCATTTGACTTATCAAACTTAGCGAATTGAAGCATTTTAGCAGTTAAAGGTAAGGAATCAATTGAGACCCTATTAGCAACAAAGAGCGAAAATGGTCTAGGTTTGGAGGCCCAAAAAATAAAGAAGGAATACAGCCCTATCATAAACGTGGGTATTTAATGGTATAGAAATGAAAAAGAGAAAATTTAATAAGTAAGAGATTAAGTATGATATATTTCAAAATTAAGAAAACAAGTTTCAAATTTCAAAAATCAGATTTTTATTAAAATTTATTTATGATTCAATTAATTAATTAAAATATTTAGGTCACATATCCATACAATTTGATCACAAATTAACAATTTAATTAGTCACTTATTAGTTTTTGATTACAAATTAAAAATTTTATGTCACAAATTATTTTACGATCACGATTCAAAAAAAATTTAGGTCACAATTTATTCATCGGTCACAAATAGAAAATTAATTAGTCACGGATTAATTTTTGGTCACAACTTACTTTTCGATCACAAATCAAAAATTTTATAGGTCACATATTATTTTTCGGTCACGAATAAAAAAATTGCAGGTCACAAATCACAATTATTATATATCACAACTTATTAGACGATAACAAATTATTAATTTTTTAGATCACACATTACTTATGGGTCACAATTTATCTTTTTTATTGGTCACGTATTGTTTATTGGTCACAGATTAACCAATTCACTGATCACAATTAACCAAATAATCTGTGACCATCACCAACACTTACGAGCACCACTTCAACGCTAACTCCAACAGCACCACCAACACAATGTTCACAAATTAACCAATTTATTGGTCACAACTTTCAATCAACCAATCAAATCGTCACAATCGGGTCCCCATTCCACCACTCCAAAAGCACCACTCCACCACCAACCTCCACCAATGACGCAACCCACCATCACTACAACACCAACACTACCCATGCCCCATCCCACCACTCCAGAGCACCGCACCACCGCCAATCACCACCAACACCAGATCGCATCACCAATGTCATTCCCACACATAAAACCACCTGCAACAAGAACCATCGTCGCCGACCACCGCACTAAGTAGATCGAATAAAAAATCGCGATGCTGTAATGACGATAGTGGGGGAGAGGGAGAGGGAGAGGGAGAGGGAGAGGGAGAGGAGATGAGAGACGAAGGGAAAAGGCGCCACCACCACCACCACTCAATGCACCACGACGCCACCGCCACTACACAAACCACCCGAACCGTCAGATCAACCACCACACAATCACCATCATCATCGCACAAAACACATCGCAACACTGTTAATCGCCCAATCTCCAACTCCACCACCACAAAATGCCACCACACAAATCACCACAGCCACCACAACAAATCACGAAAACACAAACACCATCACCCGTGATGCCGCTTCAAATCGCTCCGTTGCGACTCGCCGTCGCGGCAGTAGCGCTCACACAAGAGGAGTTACTGCAGCGGCAACTCGACGACAGTGGAGACGATGGTGGAGAAAATGATAGGAGAGGAGAGAATGGCTTGGTCCTCTTTAGAGTAGGGTTTGTAAATATAAATTAATTTATAATAATATTATCAATATATTGATTTATAATAATTCAATTAATTTCTGATTTGTGAATATACAAAACTTGGATTTGATTTTTGAAATGTTGATTTTAATAATATGGTTTCCAGTAATTTAATAAATAATGTGACTTTGAATGTTGACGGTACAATATAAATTATATTTTATCAGGAATAAACGCCCAAAATTCTCCAAAGA